TTTGTTATCTATCTCTGAATTTAATGTTAATGAGCTACTTGTGATTTTTATACTTACCTCAAGGTAAATGTTGAATGTGTTCTTAAAAGACATTTCATGTCACATAATGGTTATGTGGGGATTTTTCATTTATGATTTATGGAATAACAATATACACTATACGATCACACTAGGATATTATTTTTATTTTTATTTTATATGAACAGGTTTCGGTATTTTATTTAACTGTTAAATGCTGCACAGAGAAAAGAGGACTCCACTGTGGTGTTATTATCCCGAGACTGTGATGGTGGAACTTTCCCTCACCACTGTGCTGCTGTATGCTGTGTTGCAGAGCTGTAATAAAACACCCCATAATCCACCTGGTCYTKYTCTGTGGTCTGTAGAAGCAACAGTAGTGTGGAGCTGCATCTCACAGATGGCTGTGACCCATCACATATGTATATCATATAAATTGTTGTTTTATGGCTGCAACATGGATTAAGAGCCTACAGGACACATTTTATTCTGAGGGACAATAAAATTAATCTTGAATCTAAATGTTGAATATATGGCTTGTCAGCTGTTCCACTGTGTTCACCAGCTGTCTGATAACTCTCACTTGCTGCTGAGTAGGCGGACAATGGCTTTTTACAACTGTTTTTCTGAGAACAGCTGTTGCTGCAGCTGAAGGTATACTGAGTGAAGGGAATGAGCTTGTAGCCTAAGCAACTATGGGTCTATGTTGAAGTGGGTCCCTATAGAAACATTTTCTAACACTTTACTTCAAATTATTTTGTGAATCATGTTCTTAAATTAGAAAGTGACAAGCACACATTAAGTCTTAAGCTCATACTTTGAAAATGCAGAGGAGCGATGCAACCCAGACTATAAAGATGGATGACATGACACCTTCAAAAATGAAGCCAATTCATTTGCACCATGGTGGCTAACTGTGGTGTAGGTCTTACATCTGCTTCATCAGAGTGGAACGGATATTGACTAAGCTGAAATGTCAAAGTTCACTTTAAATACATTTTTCTCACAGATGGTTTTAAAAATGCTCTCTGGGGAATAATACAATATCAACAATCATCGCAGTATAAATGGTTCTACAGCAAAGCTCCACTGCATATATAGTATATATATTAATTGATTGATCTTCTTCAGTTGGCCAAGCTTTGCTGTTTATTAAGAGTCATTCTCTGCCCAGAAGTAAGGAAATTCTGGGAAGGAAGATGTATCAGTCTCCCCAGAAGTATGCTTTCTAGGAAATCAAATGGATGGTTCACAATCTGCAGTAACACAATGTTTGATAATGTTGGCATTCCTATCTGTAAAAAAATGAAATTAAATCGAATTGTTTTTGTTTATTAAGAAAAAAAAACCTGGCTAAAGGACTTCATAGAACTGATAATGATGGAACGTGCAGCCTCAGCCCCACAGGAGCAGGACCAGGACCAGGCAATGTTTCTATGTATGTGATATTCATTTGGAAGAGGTGGTGGATTTTATCCCTGATGGTTATAATTTTATTTGTAAAGAAGCTCATGAAATCATTGCTTCTTAGGGTTAGAGGAATAGATTCGTCAGTAGAGGTGTGACTTTCTGTCACCCTGGCTACAGTGCTGAAGAGGAACCTGGGGTTGTTCTTATTTTATTCTATTAAAAATGAATAATAACAAGTTCTGGCATTTCTAAGTGCTTTCTTGTAACATATCAAGCTATCCTTTCAGGCTATGTGAAAGTCATGATTATTGGTGGAACGCCACCTCCTCTCTAGTTTCCGCGATGTCTGTTTTAGAAAACGTGTTTGAGAATTATACCACGGAGCTGATCTCCTCTGATTTGCCTTCTTTTTTAGAGGGGCGACAGCGTCAATGATTGTTTTTAATGAAGCTGCTGTACTATTAACTAAGTTATCAACTAATGTGGGGGTAAAATTTTGATAACTTTCCTGTATTGTACTGACACATGGCTGAGAGGTAAGTGTAGAGGGAAGCAGTTCTTTAAATTTGTTCACAGTTTTAAACACCGACTATAATAGAATTTCTGTCCAGAATCGGTGTAATTAGTAATTGTAAATTCAAATGTAATTAAAAAATGGTCGGAGAGAAGAGAGTTCTGTTGAAATATTATTACATTTTCAATGTCTATGCCATATGTCAGAACAAGATCAAGAGTGTGATTCAGACAGTCTGCATTGCTTTGCCAGCAATGCAGACAAAAGGTTGCAGTAGTAAGGTGTCAAGATTGTTTACCAAGACCACTTTACTGTACAACCTGCTATTTTGTCATGCACAGGTCTATGGTGCTCCATAATAGAGCATCCATGGTAGAGGGGTTCTTCAGGCCACTGCCACCATCCACATACATCAAGGAAGATGAGGGAGGACAATTCTCCTACCATGAAAGAGGTACTTCTAAGTTACAAAACACACCGGCCATTTTATATAATATAGTAAATTTGATTAATGCAATATGCTGGGTGAAATAAGTTATCACACTGAAAGAATACCTCCACTGATTAAAGTTGATGTTACTGGAATTGAATATATAAAATTATTTTTCTCTTGCTTCTTAGAATGTTTCTTACCAATCATGCTTCCCTGCTGTGATTGTTTAACTGGGAAAACAAGTTTTTCCACATGAAAGCAAGTCATTTTGATTGGAATGAATGGTAATGGTTTTTACTACATTTTTCATATAGTAATGTAATTTTAAATTGCTGGTGCACTGAAGTAAATTCTTTTTGTCTTGGAATTTCAGGGCGATATAATCTGTCTCTCCCACATGGTAGCTGCTCCTGTGGAAAGTCTTGTTCGGTGGACATTGCTGCTCTGGTTGAAAGTGGGTACCGGCCAGCCACAGTCAATTTTGAAACCTTGTATGCAGTGGATTTGTTCACTACATTTGAGGATCTCAAGGTCACGGCTCCGGGAATGTCACGGCAAGCTTTTGTTAGCATGCTTGCACATCGCACTTAAGTCTTTGGACGGGTGAGTATAAGTTGGTATTGATTGCCCACTGCTTGCAATGAGTTTCCCATATATGTATTATCATATGTTGTTGGATTTTTCTATCTTTTGCTACCAGAGTGGAAAGATATGTGGGGATACCATGCAGAAGGCATTTCTGGAGTGGATCTATGCCAAATTTGAGGTTGAGAGACAGTCTCAGGTGCAGTATTTTCAGTGCCCTGCATGCACACCTACCATGTTGGCTGTTGCAGTGGATGGGAACCGTAAACTGTCATGCTTTAAGAGCCAACCAGGGTATGTAGAATTATTGTCCATAGAAAATTCAGAGTGCCATGAAATAAATATTTGTAAATCTTTATTTATTTATTTTTTATGTGTAAGACCTGATGGATTTTTTGATGGCGTATTTCTGGCCAAGGACTCTGAGGTGTCTACCTTTGTTGACTACATCTACGGGACGACAAAACACATAAGTACATTTCAGAATCAGAATCGCTTTTATTGCCAGGTATGTGAACAAACGAGGAATTTGACTCCGGTTTTTCTTTGTTCTCTTAGTACAACAGTTTAAAAAAACAACAAACAAACAGAGATGAACAAGGACAAAAGACAATAACAAAAGCTATGTACATGTACAAAAAAGCTAAATAGTTGGTGCAAATGGTGCATAGTGCAAGGATGAAATTATAAATATACATATTCACTTTGTACAGTATATTGAATGTACAGATATATTACAGGTGATGTTTCTGATATTTGAGTCCAGTTTTAGCTGTTTGACACAGAGACAGCCTGAGGGAAAAAGCTGTTCTTAAAACGGGAACTGAAGTCCACAAACAGGATCCTGGCGTATGTCCCTGCAGAGTCGAGGTGTTGCAGGATGTAGTGCAGTCCCATGTTGACAGCATCATCTGCTGACCTGTTTGCCCGGTAGGCAAACTGCAGGGGGTCCAGCAGGGGGTCTGTGATGTCCTACAGGTGCGACAATACCAGTCTCTCGAAGGACTTCATGACTACAGAAGTGAGGGCGACAGGCCTGAAGTCATTCAGTCCTGTGATTTTCTTGGGGACCGGGATAATTGTGGAGAGTTTGAAGCATGAGGGGACTTTGCACAGCTCCAGGGATCTGTTGAAGATCTGGGTGAAGATGGGGGCCAGCTGGTCAGCACTGACCTTCAGACAGGAGGGTGACACACCGTCTGGGCCGGGTGCCTTCCTGATCTTTTGTCTGTGGAAAAGCCGACAAACATCCTCTTTATACTTTTTTGTGGAAGGGGTGTGTCATCATTTTGTAACTTTGATTTTGTTTTGACAGACTGTGCAAAGGATTACAGAAGCAACATAGGATGTTGAGAACATCACCACTGAGTTGTCTCTAGAGGAAGACACAGTCCAGCAATGGGTGTCAGATGTTCAGCAGTGGACGGCAGGTACTGTGGCAAGAAAATATTGTAATTCTTGCAAAATGTCCTTTGACTGTGTTTACACAAAGTCTACACAAAGTTTGATTGTAAACTGACATGAATTTAATTCTCCTCTTCACAAGGAGCAACCAGTCAAAATGACTTGCAGAAGACCATTGAAGGACTGTATCTGAGCATTAAGCAGCTTTATCGTCAGACTGGTGAGACAACAAGATGCCACCATTAATGCACATTTCTTTATGTAACATGCTGTGACAAATGTTACTGATTACTATTTAATAGTCACTAGCTATCACTGACACAGAGCCATAAATATGTTTGTGTAGTAGACTTGATTTTATTGGTGTTACATTGGCCATCTTATACAGTACACTAAATATTTTGTTGTTTCACATTCTAGATGGCAATAAGCAGAGACATCAACTCAGGAAAAAGATAGCTGTAGAAAAGAAAGCCTTGGAGGATGCCATTGCTCAATACAATGCTGTTGTGGAGGAAGCCGACAAACTCCCTCCTCCTAACAAACTCTTGGCTAATGACAACTATTCCTGGCAATGTAAGTATTGTATTGAAAGCCACTGAATACAAAATTGCTCACTTAACCCTTGCTATAAATGTGATATAATTGGTAATGCTGCTGTCGAGACTTAAAGAGGAAGTTGTTATTGTGGTTCATGAGGTCAAACAGCATTGGGAGTACTTGAGGAGTATGGTGGGAGAGCTTTCCTCCCAGCTTTCTGAGGCCATCGGTAATATACATTTTATT